AGGAATAAAATTTTCTGAGACCCCAAGGTGGTCAAGTGGAAGCGTTTTTTTTCGTTGCAAAGAGCGAGCAACTAAAGGGAGATGCGCGCATAGATTGCACTTAGCGATTTCATTTGCTGCCTGATCCTTCCAAATGTCCATCCGGAGGGGAAAGATAGTACCACTGTGAATGCATCCTCTTATTTGAATGCTGCGACAGCCTTCAAGGCAGTAATATAGCCACAACGAGAGTACAACCTTTGACTGTCGCACAACGCCCATTTGATGTGCCACGTGGTGCACGCAAGACACCGCATGGTCTTTCAGTTTCGTGGTGTTGACCTGCGCACCAGCACCAGTTGGCAACGCTGCAGTCCCCTGCACAACGCCCTTTCAACACACATTTGCTGAGCTTTTCTGGCAATGTTGGTTTAAAAAGTTATGTTGTTTTGAATAGTCCGAGTCCCGTGGACAATTTAGAAAGTGGATGATAAACAAACTGCCTTGACCCATCACGGACTTTGGCGTGCATGACAGTGCATAGGACGAAGAGAGCTGTACCACATGTAGTAGAGCTTTGAATGTCGATTCGAGCGGTAACTACTTGCCTTTTACGTGCAGCTATCTGCTACCGACTGTGCCGTACTTGGTTAACGTCGTCCCTGTCATTCAAGGACAAGAATTTCGATATTTGCCAGAAACTGTAAAATGTAGGTCATTACAATCATAGTTTGTCCGATGCTGCTGCTAAATGTTGACCAGCAGTGCTCTTTGGCTGGGAAAGACAACTCTGAAGGCCCCGATGCTTACGAACAGGTAAAATTCCTATGTGTACGGGATGCTCTCGTTGGTACCTATGATTTGTTGCAGCTTCGCACTGCATTTCCCTACGTTCTGTGTCTTGGTGAGATGAAGGGAAGGGAGGAAGCTGGGGTTTACAGCGGCGACAGCATATTTGGAGTTGAGCGTCTGGAATTGTAATGCCTGCAGTGGAAACTGTACGCCTTCATCGCCAAACATTGCCAGTAGGCGTCGGATGGACCGAAGCGAGGGGCTGACTCCCAGCCTTTGATGACAAATATCTCCACTGCACATTTTATCTGTGCTGATTTGTCGGTTTGTTTGGTTTAAATAATGTGTGCTGAATGTAGGAATAGTGAGATGGTCATGCTACTGGTGGCAGGGTCGATGCTTCCACTGGTGCCCAAGTGTCGTCTATCACTCAGAATGGTAAAAAACGCAAAAACAAAACAAATCATCACCCCTAGGACAGATGTATGAAATGACACTTGCATAATAATTGGACCGAATATGCAAATTTCGAGTCTACGAATTTTGTTCGGCATAAAGCAGTTGATAATTGTTTCCACAAAAGTAGCATTACAATTGTTTTAAGAGAGGGGAAAGTCTGTGTTACAACCCGAAAAAGGTGTGGCAAATTTGTTCCGCAGACACGGCGAAATGCAACGATTAATTACCGCATCCGCATGGAATGCGTGTAGAGTTTTCTGATTTTACAAGGGTAAACGTTCGGAACATCAATTAAACACACACGATGCAAATTGGCCTCCTCATTTGGTGTATGGTGCGGACATTGGTCATGTCGCCAGACTGTCCAAAGTGGACGAAAAGTTAGAAGGACAAATGGTAAGGGTTAGAATGCAAAGCACGTACTGAATGAGAAAATGGAGGAGGAGCCTGAGAACATTCTGCTCCTTGGAAGAGCATGGAGACGAAGGAGTAAAGCGTATCGCCTACACGCGATGGCAGTCTCCCTGCAAGCAAGGCTTATAAAAGTATTAAGAAATTGAGGTCATGGCATTTTCTTATGGCTTCAACATGTTGACCTTAAAATGCTCGGTCGGAAGGCATTCTTATTGGAAGGCAAGAGATAAAAATATGGAAGTGAAAATGAGAGGATGCCAAACTGACACCATCGACTCAAGCGATCGAGCACATGTGTGTGCAGCAGGAGAATCATGCAGCTACATGGAAAAAGCAATGCCATCGTGCTCGCATTCACATTTTTTTTAAATTCCTCATCGCCACCTCACTTCGTGAGGATTA